GCAGTAGAGCAGATGACCTGCTTTTTTTTAAATATTCACCAGTGTCATCTTAGTTTTGATTAAGGAAGAGATCTATGCAAGAATAGTGTTTCAATAAACTTTATTTTCTGACTGGCCTTATTGTTCACATAGAAACCTTAGCACTTCCATGCCATTTTGGTTTTTACACAATTAGCCTGTTGGTATGCTGCCACCCCAGTAACTGGCTTTCTGAAAAAAGAATTACGGTTGAAGATACCTTATCTTAGCTGCATAGGTAATACAAAATTAACAATATGCAGGGTTTTTTTAATTTTGCAGGACATTACGTAAGCAGATAACGTTTATATAAGGAAGAAAGGTATATATTGAAAACTAGTATAGTAGTCGGTTTTGTTTGATGCCTTTTCTTTTAAAGGCTTAATTTAAAACCTTGTAGAACCATTGTGACATCAGCATAATATAAAATTCAGTATGTCAATTCATTATTACTCTGATATAGGTAAAGAACAGAATGTCTGGAAACTTCAGCTGAGAAACTGAAGCTGACAGTCTCAGAAATAGAGGAAATTTATTTTGCACCTGTCGCTCATTACTCAAAGTAGTGTCCAGTTAAACATTTCCCTAATGTGAATCTGTGGGGTTTTGGTCAGTCATAAAATAGCTTAATTTTTTCATAATCAAGTCATGATACTTAAATATGTAGCCCTTCAAAACCGTGAATTCTACTCAATCTTCCTCAGTTACATTCATTATTCTACCATTCTATCAACCTCTCTGTTGGCAAACTGTTACCTGTGTATTATTCCTACCTACTAAAAAATTGTTATAATTTTAATTTGTAGTGTTGATAAAGTAAATATATACACCGCCTTCTGGTTCGCATTTTCAGAGTTTTTATCCTGTGTACAAAACGCATTTTTAACAGTGTACAAAAGCTAAAGTAAAATGCCTATTTATTCTTACTATTCACTTACAAAAGTAATGCTATTTCATATGAGATGAATACAATACAAATATGTAATACGGCATGATGCGACTGGAAGTGTTTTGGCTTAGTATATCATTCTCTTTAAAAACATTTGCACAAACTTTTGCTCCTGCCTGTGATGATGCCATTCTTTGTAGCTCTTGTAAAGCCTTTAAACTCATTTGGGGTTTTATATTCCTTTGCACTAGGGTATAGTTTTCTAAACAAGGTATTTTCTTGAAAATACTACTTTCAACTGAATGTGATACTTTTAGGAGACAACATTTGGGGAGAAGATTAAAATGACCGTCTCTACTTTCAGCAGAGTGTTTACACACATATAGTAGTAGCATTGCTGCTTATATGGCAGATCCCTTCATGTCACAGGCTCCAGGAATCCTTTTCACAGTGTCGTCTGAGGCTTTCAATTCAATCACTGAAGAGAGTGACAAAGCTTTGGCCCTCAGTTGGGGCAAAACAGATGAAGAAGAGGAAGAGAGTAGTTTTTCACTTTGTTCACGCGACTGAAGCACACGCAGGTTAAAGGCATTTGCCTGAAGTCAGACAGGAAATCTTTGGCAAAGTGGGAAACCTTGCTAGTTTCAAGCCCAGTCTACACTTAAGGATTCAATGGTGTAAATATACCACCAGCTGAACTCATCAGCAGTTGTTCCCAGGAAGGAGGCAGCTTGTGCTTGTGCAGCAGTGATGTTTTTTCTCTGAGAAATTGTAAAATGAAAAGTTTGATGTTTTTAGAAGGCATTTTTCTAGAAAAAAGTCTTTCCACTACTATTAGTAATTAACTGGTATATGCAACTACCCAGATTAAAAATCTGGAGCGAAAACAATGCCAGTGCTTGCAAGGACTGTATTTGAAAATAAACTAGAGACATCTCTTGATTTATGTTATTTTTTTCATTGTAGTATCAATATCAGTGAATAAAAGACTGATAAATAGTCCTAAATTCACTTCTGATTTCTTTTGTGTCTTAGGTTTATACATTTGAAAATTGCACAGAAAGCCTTTTGCCAGCTTTTAAATACAGTCAAATAAATGTGTCAACACTAAATAAGTAAATAAATAAATTTGAAAACTACTAGACTGGAATCATTAAGTCTATAAAGTGCTTAAGATTGCTGAGACCAAACATTGTTTTTAAAGGCTGTTTCGAACTTTTACGTATCGTCTTCCTTAAGTTCTCATAGGATATGGAGGTTATTTTGAGTTAGATTTTCTTTATACTAAGCAGTTTCCTTAGGAGCTGCATGATGCTTCTGAAGCACAAACTGTCCAGTGAAACTGAATAAGTAAACAAGGGCCTGCTTTCACGCTGTGCTAATAAAATCCTTTGGTGTTTTAAGACTTTTGGAGTTAATCGTGTCAGAATGGGTAAGTAGCTACAAATTTATAGGTCTGTAGTTGCTGGTTGGATAATTTTCAAAATTATCAACATCATCAATGTTTTCCTTATAAAAGTATGTCTCTCTTCCTGCCAAGTGGATAACTGAGCTAACAGGTTTTTCGTATGTTTTTATTCCTTATTTCTGTAGCCTCCAAAACTCTTATAAATAGTATGCTACGGGACCCTTCTCAGATTCCAGATGGAGTTCTAGCAAATCAAGTCTATCAGGTATTAATCACAATTGTCTTTTTTTTTTTCCTTTTTTTTTTTTTTTTCCTGTGGCGATGCTGTTATCTGCCTAGCAGAGTAAAAGATTTTAAACCTCATTTAATTACTGTCATCGTAAACTATCAGTGAGGTCAGGGTGCACCATAAATGGCAATGCAATATTTGTGAGGGGAGCATTTCACTTTTTAATAGCTTGCTTTCATAGTGAATAAAAGCATGCAGGTTTTGTTTTCTGTGATTAAATCTAAACAGCGTCTGATAGCCTTTTTGAAGAAAAGTAATTACTGTTTTTAAGATACTGTTTAACTGTAATGGTTTTGTAGTTGCCCATCACTATACTACTTCCCTTATTTGTCTGCAGTGTACTGTGAATGACTGTTGTTATGGACCACTGGTGGACTGCATCAAACAGTATCCTTTCCCATAAAATTTTAGGTGCACAATTGACGAGCTTAGACTGTGTGGAAGAGATGTGTCTAGCTTTAACCTGACATAAAGTTCTGCTTCACAAAACACGTTTCATACTCCTCTGTTTTACATTCAGTCAGCTCGAGGGTCACTGCAGAGCTTTCTCTTATACTGTTTAACAAAAATCAGATGGACCACGGGAAGTCGTCAGTTTGGTGGCTACGCATTCATATACCTGATTGAACCTCTTTGGTTTTGATTAGTTGAAATGCATGTCTGGTTTTCTGTTAAGACTAGTTGACCATGCTTTGAGCAGTGGAGTTAGACTAGATGATCTCTAGAGATACCTTCCAATCTCAACTATTCTGTGATTAAATTAATAAGTTGCATAGATAGTGTTCAACAGTATGGCATTGCTTTGTTATGAATATGAGTTTTAATTGGAATGTTTTCAGGTGCAATTCAGGTGGGATTGACCAATTAGTATTTTTAAACTCCCATCTGACATTCCAGTGCAGTTCTTTTACTTTCTCTTCTTCGTAAAGGAAATTAGTCTAGCTGCTACCCTATGTAGCTTGAATTTTAAGGGATTTAGTTTTTTGTAGTGTTGAAATAGTTAATTAGAGATCCTCAGTATCCAGGGAGAATACTGGGGGAACTCCACATAGTACTGAGTATTTCAGACTAAGATTATAATTTGTTAGGAATGATCACTGCGACCCCAAATCTGTTTTAATGAAGTCCTGAATGCGTAGCTCTTCTGTTTCAGTCTGCTCTCAAAGGAACAATTTCAAAATCATGGCCTGCTATCACTAGCAGGCTAGCAAGGCAATTCTCTCCCAAGCCCTAGAGAATCCTTGCATAAATCTCTGCATGCAGTTTGGGGGAAGATCTTGATTTCGCTGTACAGTTGCAGGATAGGAAAGCTACAGTGATGTTTAGTTATGCATGAAAAACAACACTTCTTATAGTTGTGATACATGTGGTGGTCACCCCCTTGAAAATATGTTCTTTCCACTAAAAATCCTTGCCTGGTGTCTACTACAGACTCAGCCCTGCTCCCATTAGCTTTAACGGCAGCAGGATAGAGTTCTAATTGTATTTGTATTTTGCGGGTTTAATCATAATTTTAAGTATTCATTGAGACGATCTTCAACATTAAACACAGCTCTCTGAAAGTGGATTAATCTAGTAAGTTACATTTTTTAAGAGGTTGTTAATCACTAATTTTCATATCCAGGATTTTAAGATTAATATTTTGTTGATGAACAATCTGGCTATAGTATTTTGGAAGTGTCATGTTTAAAAGTAATAATAACACATATGTAGAATTATGAACAGTTTTTAAGAATAACTTGCCTGCAGCCTGAAAAGGTCTAATCTGTCCTCTTCAGATTCTGGTTCAAGTAAAGTTATTGAATACGCAGTGACATCAATGAGAATAATGAGGAGTTTTTCAATTCCATTTTGGTACAGAAAAGTTTAATACTAAGCTGCGCGAATGCATTATCTGCAAGTATGTTGCTGAATTAGATGTTAATTTTGAGGTGCATAAAATAGTTAAAAATCAATTTAAAGTTAAGGTTTTAAAAGCATAATGTCTTCTGAAGGATTGCATATTGATTTTAAATATAACTATCTAATTGTATATGCATGGACTAAAGTATGAAGTCAACCTCTTTGTAAATGCCAAGAGGCTATTTTTCAGTAATAGTTCAGATGCTTACGGGAAACTAGGCTGCTAGATTGCATGAGTAGAAAATGGCTTGTGAGGTTATTTACAAGTTTTGCCCCATGGTCATTGCCATACATCAATAACAGGTATTATTATAGACTAAGTCTAAGTGTTTCTGCTTATGGTGCATTATAAATTCTGTTCGCAATATTTTTCTTACATTTTTGCTGTTCTTCATTTGCCCCTTTTGTTCTGTAACTGCTAGTAGAATTTAACATATTGTTTCAATTGATAAAAACTGTGTGTGTGTGTGTATATGTATGAAATGATTCCATACAATTAGGTTTTTTGCTGTTCAGCATAAAGTGTTGATATAAATTAAGTAATTAATGATAAGGTGATCTGTAGTTTAAGTTTTCAGAAGTTAATTCTAAACAGAATTAGGAATTTAACTGTCTTTAATGTAAGATCCTTTATCATGGTGTTCCATAAGATTCTTCTTAAAAGCTTCCAGAATAGAACTTTGACCTCCAGGAGGATACATTAAAAATATTTTTACATATTGCTAAGAATAGCACATTGGATCAACAGGCCGTCAGTGAAGTGAAAAGGACTTCACTATAAAATATTATTTCATCCTTCCCTGACATTAGTTCATGCTTCTGAAAAATCAATTAAAAGGATGTTTTGTTACAGTAAGATGTTTCAGATAGATGTAGTGCCTATGAATTTCAGAATATAAGGAAAAAAACAGTTTATTTCATTCTTTGCAGAATTAGAGAATTGATATATTAGTCAGTAAAGAGCAACTTAAAAACAACTTAAAAGGTATTTAAACTTGGGGGGGAAATAAAGCAAAAATTGAAATATTACCCTTATTTATACCGAATAAATATGATCTAATGGGTCTTAATTTTGTAAAATGTATGCTGATGATACAGTAGTCTGATTTTCATGAAGTGCTAAATGCCTCTGAAAATCCCTGTAGAGAATTTCAAAACTTAAGAGTTCAAATCACTGATCACTTCTGAAATGCAGATGAAGGCCAATAAACTTTATCATTAATTTCTTTACCTGTGATGTTTTTCTGACGTTGGTTCTTTTCCAAAGTAATCTTCCATTTCTTAACCTAAAACTATCAGCGCTATTGGGCATGAGCATGAAGTCTTGCTGCGAGAAATGCTTTTGGAAAAAAATCTCTCTTTCATAGGTAAGAATCTGTAGTAGAGGTTAGCCAGTGAATCCTTAGCTTCAAAGATTTCAGTGACTGTTTACTTAAGAAAAAAATAAGCCTCAATGCTCTTTGTATTAGGTAGTAAAGGAAGAGTAAAAAATGATTGATGCTGTACATGTTATCTTTTATTGATTTAGAACTGAGCAGGAACTCAGTTACCTAATACCCTATATATACAGCACATGCACAAGCTTGAAATTAATATTTTATAGAATAAGTAGCTGAAAAAAATGCTTTAATATCTGCTGCAGTATTACTTTTGGTGTCATGAGATATTAGCCATAATCTAGGCCTTATGAGACTTAGGAGGAAGCATAAGAAATATTAGCTTCAGAATGCTTTATGTATTAAAGAACTGCTAGAGGATTCACTCATTTAGCTTTCTGTGCAGTTTCTGCTGAATTTTTGCCCCCTGCCTCCCAACCAATGCAAGCACTCTTTTCACAATCCCTATATTTAAAGTTATTTTAAGGATTGATTAGTTAGGAAGTTATTTTCTTTTTTTTCTTTTAGCCTGCACTACGTTTCTTGTATATGAGTGCCATTAAACCAATGATTAGTGTTCAAAGCATCGTTTCTCTTACTGTGATAATAAATTTAAGAATGACTTCTTAAATCTTGGATTCCTTGTGATGAGACATTAACAAAATGAAATGCTGTCTTTTGTTAATGGTTGAGTGTTGTACTAAATCTGTGTGATCAGGGAATTTTCCTGGTTTTACCAGAAACTGTGATCTCTCCTAAAGCTAGATTCAGGTTAAGATTTTGGAAACCTTAAACAAATTTAAGAAATTAGAAAGAGTATTAAGGTTTTTAAAAGATTTGTCTATATGATTAAGGAACAGAGTTAGTGTGCTCTTTTATTTTAGAGAAAAATAAAAAAAAGACAGGAATAACTATTGCATACAAACTTGCAAATGACACTATGAAATTGTGAGGAGGTAGTTTTTCCTACTTGGCTGTAAGAGCAGAGATAGAGGTAATAGGTTTAAGCTGTAATTGTAGAGATGATGTTGAGTTAAAATACTAAACAGTTCTAGGAACAGTAAGTGTAAAACAAACTGCCAGGGAAGGTTATGGAATCACCTTCAATGAAAAATTCAAGGCTAGACTTGACACTCATCCATCAAAGCTGGTAATGAAATCAATCCTGTCACGATACAAGGGAATGGACTAGATGACTCACTAATGGATCCTCAATCCAACGATTATAATTTTATTTGGCTTGTGCAAGGTTGTGTAGTACACAAATCAGATTTAAATTTTAATGTTTCATGACCTTGGATAAGCATCAATTCTGTCTTTAGAAACAAGCTCTAAGAAATTTATGCTGTTAAAACATCTAGAATGGGTTAAATCATTAGAATGTAAAGATATAAATGAGAGAGCTTAATTTATTGTTTACATTTTATGTATTCTGAAGTATTGTTTAGTCATGATTTAAGATATGTTAAATGGTTGTATTTATTATTTCTGTGCATTGTATGTGTCTCTAAGATTCTTGGTGTGATTTTTTAAAAAAAAAAAAAAAAAAAAAAAGCTTTTCCTAAGTATCTGCAAGATGAACCCTACTGAACCTCTCGCAATAAAATCTTTCCTTTCTGAAAAATTAGTTCCAAAACTGCTTGAAGAAAACCTCAGGAAAACAGAAGAGATGACAGTATTTCGTATAGGTCAACAAATTCAGGCTTTGTTATGCTATGAGTAAGACTGTATTCCAGTTTTGAAGATGGCTTATGACTTAGATTGCTGTACTCGCAATTTCATTACTTTTTAACACGTGTTAAAGAAACAGAATTCTTGCAGTTTCCATGTTAGTGTACTATTCCAGTGTACTATTCTTCAAAAATAGTTTTTTGTATCAGCTATGTTCACCTGGGCAACAGAGAGTCTATTACAGGAGAAGAAAGCACAGTGAAAGGACACAGTGAATATAAATTGCCCCAGTATGTTCTTGGAGCATGAAACAGCTTTTCAGGTCCGGGACGTAGTTCGTCTGTTTCTAGAGCAGTTAGTTTTCAAAACCTACAGATCAGAAGTAATACCTTCAGATTCACCCAGAAATTGATTGGAAACCTATACAAACTAATGGGGTTTACATTTTATTAATCCACTGTTCATGAGAAGCACATCATATACCACGTCCTCTCTTCAGCAGAAACACAGCTCTCAAGTGTTCATCGCTTTGCCTGAGATTAAAGTGATCAATGGAAGCACTCTCTCAAAACAGGCTAACAGCTTCACTTGCCATACTGAAATGCCAGGAATTTCTAGATTCTATATAGGATCTTTATTTTTTTTATATCTTTGCCATGAATATATTAGGAAAGCTTTTAGCTATAATGGGAAGGTACTGACCTTTGCCTGGAATCTTATCCTGCTTTCATTCCCACAGATGTCCCTCAGTAGTAGCCTGGATATAAATCATGAAATGTGATCGCTGTAATCTTAAATTTGCAGTTACTGCTCATTCACACACCGACAGAAAATGTTGGGTGTCTTTGTTATATCCAGAGGCTAGTATAAGAACATTGATGTGTTAAATGGTTATGATTGGGTGTGAAGTTATGGTAAAGATGAAGCTCCAGTTTTGTTGGAAATCTAAATTAATGGGGAATCTGTAGAATAACTACTTACTAAGGCTGTTTCAATGTAGTTTTCAAATCTGAGGATGCATAAATGTAACTGTCAAAGCTGTTGTGGGCTGTCTTTCAAGCAGTTATTAAATTGTTCTCTTCATCCATGCAAGAGCTAAAAGATCTTTTAAGGTGCAGAATGCTACCTCTGAAACATACCTGGGCGGAAAAGTTAGAACTTCTTTTCTTTTGGTGGGGTTTTGGTTTAAAAAAAAAGTTTATGGTGATTGTGGGGAGTTTCTGTAATTCTTTTTCTTTTTTTTTCCCCCGAAGTTATAAAGCTTCAAAATACTTGAAGAAAGAGTAATATATAATTATGCTCCTGCACATGATAGACAACTCACATCAATAATAAACATGTTTTTTAAAATATTTTTCAATGTTTATCGTAATACAAAATGTTAGGAGAAACCAAGTGAAAACATGCAGAAACAGATTTAAACCAAAAAACATGTTCTTTTTCAAGCCATGCGTTAGTGTCAAATGATTTTAAAAGTAATCAGACATCCCAGAAGAATCTGCTGAAGAATATTAAAAGTAATGCTGATGCAAACTCCAGTTCAGAGACCTGCCAAGTTGACCCATCAGGAAGTGTTTTTGCATCTGTCCTGATTTTCAATGGTCTTTTTTAAGGTACATTCCCCTGAATTTGTGATGCTAGCATTTGTTAGATGTGCTAGAAAAGGCTGAACTTTCTATTGCCATTTGTGCACTCTTAAATAATGAAAATTTCAGCTGGGACATCCCCTTATCTTTTCTAGACTGTTTTAAACAATTAAGAGCAGGTTACAGTTAAACAGAGTTGGTTAAAACTGGATTATTCTTTATTTTTATCAAGATTAAGAGATTACTTAGAACATTAACTCATTTTTATGTTATGACATAAAACTCACTATTCATAGGTTCTGTTAAATTAGAACCTTGTTAATCTAAAAATCTTTTATCTGTATACCTGACAATCTTTGAAAAAATAGCCAACAACCAAGTCTGTCTCCAAATCCTAGAAAAGTTTAATAGCTGATTGGGTGATATAATGAAGTGTTGCATTGCAAAGACTTGTATTTACAATATAATGTCCTTAGAGTGAAGAAATACTCTCAAATTTCAAAAGAAATACTACAGCTATCAAAAAGAATAAGCAGCTATCGGAGTTTATACTTAAGTGAATGTACAACTTTCCAAAATTACTCCCACTTCCAGTATTAGTTCAATATATTAGAAAAATACTTTGGAGTTATATTCTTCAGTGAGAAAGAGGAGGGAAGTTTGCTTTAGCCACTTTTAAAATATTTTGATTTCTAAGAGTGTATGTTTTTCTTGTCATTAAAGTGTTACTTGGACTCAAAGTGCTGACCTTTCAGGATATGCACAAAGTATTCTAAAACTGAGTTCTGAACATTGGCTATGAAACTACTGTCCTAACCTGATAAATGGATTGGAAATAAGCTACCCAACAGTGAGAATGGCCCATTAATTTTAATCAAAGGTGATGTAGAAAGGCGAATGGGATGCATGACAATGTCAACAGCCCAGTAGGTGTTAAGGGGCTACACAGCCTTACTTGTTACTAGGTAGTGCCATTAGTTGAGCTTGGGTGAAGACAGAAAGCCATGCCTGGAATTGAATGACCAGGTCACTCCAAATTTTAATGGAGAAATGGTGTTTCAGAAATACCAATGTAATGGTATCGGAAATCAAGGACAACAGTTTAGAAAATATTAAGGGCTTGCTTTGGGCTTTTTTTTTCTTTTAAAGGAAGCATCTTTTGTCTTTTGCAGTTTTATCTTGCTCGCTCCTTATTATTGTTTCTTGAAATATTCACCTCTAATATTTGTAAGCAGTAGAGTTGTATAGTTAAAGTTAACAGAATTTCTAAATCTTTGTATGTTCTGAAATTGGATAAATTCTATAGAATGCTGGATGCAAGAGAAACTAAAATTGTGACTTCTCTCTCCTTTAATAAATTTCTGGAAGAGAAGGATTTTCTTGTTCTTTTTTTAACAACTTTATGCTAACATTAAAATAAAAACAAGAAGGCAGGTACAGTATGTCTGCATTTGTGGTGTTGGTAGTATTAATCTTAACAGCTTCCTAACTCTTCTTGCAATCAGTGAATATACCTCTTTATTTTGAATATTTGGGGGTTATAAAATACTGTATGACAGCTTGAATTAATGATGTTTATAATGAAGACATAAAAATGCAGGGATGACAAAGAAGCATTTTTATATCCATGCTTCAGGTTTTCTACGAAGGTTCATTTAATCTGACACAGCATTGCATGCATAAGAAAGATATGTATGACTGCATTAGTAATTCCTGCACTCTTATTTAAAATAAAATTAATTATGCTGCTGTCTACTTAATAGAATAGTTTTATAAATAGTTCTTATTCTCTATGTATAGCTGAAGATCAGCTTCGTGCAAAGGGTTATGACAAAACACCAGACTTTATTTTAGAAGTGCCAGTAGGTAAGTCTTTTAAAAGAATTTTTATTATTTTATTTTGTATAGAAGTGTTCATGCTAAAATATTATGGCTACTTAAGTGAAGTGTATTATAGGATACTACAAATTAGTCTCTTTTTTCAGTAGTTACCCAATAATTTTAAGGACTTCTAGTTTTGGTCAGAGAGGTTTGATCGTAAGTAGTATTACCGAGTGTTGCCTCTTTGATCTCTGCTTGTTTTTGTCGCATTATCACAAAAAGAAAAAAAGAAAAACAAGCAACTCTAAGAACCCCCAAATCCCTACTCCCTCTAACCTGCTCTGCCCACTGTCTTTATGAACTGAACTGTGAAATACCTATAATTGTCTTAAACTTCTAGACCCAATCAGTTCAAAGCAGTCTTAAGACTATTACTGTTACACCTATAAGTCATTGTGTAAGGGTTTGTCATTGTACAGTTATTCTTTTGCCATCACTTTGCATCTAAATACAACTCTGCAGTTCTCTATTGTTTTTTAAAAGCCTGCATAGCAAGAAGTAAGAAGGAATAAAAGTTAGGTATAAAGGTCATGTCAAATTTCATCTACATTTTCTAGTCTTCAGGCCATGTAAGAAGGTAATCAGATGACCTAGTGGCTGGGCCATAGAAGAAAGAACATCCATGTTGTCCAAGTGTAAAGGATTATTAATCACTTTTTGTAAATTTACTTTCATGCCAAAAGACTTGAATGTCCATAGAATGCAGCACCTGTCTATGCAGATGCCTACTGTTGTGTCTATCGGAGAAAATAAGAAGGCTGAAAGCACTGTGTGAAAGTCATATGCATGTCTGGTTTTTTGTTCTTCATATTGACATCAGTTGGAATTCTTACTAAGATAACTGATTTGTACACGGGTATGTGGAATTGAGTGTGCAGTATAAAATGTCTTACTACCCAGGAGTGCTTGAGATACCATCTTTCAGCACAATGATCTGTTATCCAGTAGATAAACAACTATGTATATGAGAGTCTTCTGAAAAGTTTTTGAAGACTTCCTTAGCTCAATGATGTTTGTATTCCTACTCATGTTTCCAAAAAAGAAAAATGGTGATGTTAATAAGAGGTTATATGTACAAAATAAAAAATACCTTTGTAGCTGAACCACTCCGTATTTCAAACAGTGAGCTTTGGCGTCCTAATGAGCTGCAATTCACTCTTGTCAAGCCACACTTGGAGAGTTTTCAATTAATTTCTAGTCCTTCACTTCCATACCTCTTATTTGTGGAGGGTCTCAGGAAGCTACCAAGGACTTGAGGGCGTGAGGGAACGGTTGTTTTTTATCAAGTCTAAAGTTAGCAGGGAGGATTGTGGAATTACAGAATCACAGAATGGCTGATGCTGGAAGGGACCTCTGGTGGTCATCTGCTCAAGCAGGGTCACCTGGAGCTGGTTGCCCAGGACTATGTCCAGACGGCTTTTGAATATCTCCAAGGATGGAGGCTCCACAACCTCTCTGGGCAACCTGTGCCAGTGCTCAGTCACCCTCACAGTAAAAAAGTGGTTCCTGACGTTCAGATGGAGCTTCCCATGTTTCAGTTTGTGCCCATTGCCTCTGGTCCTGTTACTGGTTACCACTGAAAAGAGCCTTGCTCCCTCTTAACACCTGACCGCCCTTCAGATAGTTATATACATTGATAAGATTCCCCAGTAGTGTGGACTACAGTATACACAATATGTATTTGGTATCAAGATACTCACTTCTACATTAGAAACAGATAAGCTTATATCCCAGCTATTCAAGAGCCTGGTTAAATGGGAACTAGTATGGAGCTAATTTTTTTAATGCTTGAGAAGGGAAACTGGGAAGCACCCAAAAGAATTCCTGGGTTTATAATATTACCCTATTAGAAAGAAGGTTAAAAATAGCCATTAATTTGTTTGCATGGATTTGTCTCTAAAAATCCGAATAGCCATAGTGCATTACTTTCTTCAAATTATTTCAGCCACTTGAGATTGGCAGGAAATAATTTTCTACCTGCTGCCTGATCTGAACTAATGTCTGGCAGTCCTTGCATTCTCTTCTTCATGACTCAGTACATAGCTAGGAAAGGTAAACGTTTCTTAGAAATTGCTTCTCAACTGACTACACAGTTTATGCCTCAGCTATTTTATCTCCTCGGGTCTAAAGATGGTGGGAGTGGGGGGAGGAGATAGTAGTATAGGCCTACATAATATAGGTACTTAGAGGGGGCTTATAAGAAAGATGGGGACAGACTTTTTAGCAGGGCCTGTTGCGACAGGACAAGGGGGAATGGGTTTAAACTAAAAGAGGGTAGCTTTAGATTAGATATAAGGAAGAAATTTTTTACAATGAGGGTGGTGAAACAGGTTGCCCAGAGAGGTGGTAGATGCCCCATCCCTGGAAACATTCAAGGTCAGGTTGCCTGGGGCTCTGAGCAACCTGGTCTAGTTACAAGATAGCCCTCCTTATCACCTTTAAAGGTCCTTTCCAACCCAAACTATTCCATGAGTCTATGATAAGTTAACTTGGTTACTGATAGCAGGGTAGTGGTGGCATATAGAACTTAGTGTGGAGACTTCATGAGTTACAGATTTCCCAAGTAATTTTACAGTCTGTGTTTCTGGGTCTGCATGCCCTTTGAGTACCTCATCCCAGGTCGAATGTAGGCTAAGACATCATGGCTGTGGGTATCATAGGGAACTCAAAATAAAAGAAACATTTTTAAAGACCTCAATAATGATACCCCAAATTACCTTTTTGGAGAAAGAATAATCTTTTAGAGTGATTCTCATGATTTCTTATGCAAAATTAGGTTGTCAACTTCAGAGAAGACTTTCCTTTTACCAAAAAAAGATAATTTTATTAATATTAGAAATTCACTCCTGCAGGAAAGACATGAACCAGAGCAAATCCCACAGCATTGAAACAAACAGAAATTCAAAATCACGTTTTTTCACATAAGCCTTCTTATTCCTAACTTCTTTCTGGTGAAGCATTACTGATTTTGCGAAAGTAAGGAAGCAAATATATATCTATGATAAACTTTCTTGTGATTCTCACACCTTCCACTCTGGATTGGTGAGGAGTTTCTGGTTTTAGCAGCTTAGCTAACTATTCTTGTTACTCATCAGAAGTTTTCAACTCCTTACCTGACAACTCCTTTCCAGCAAAGTAAGGGTGAAAGTAGGATGAAATTTCACCTTAGTCTAGTCTCTTTTTCTTTACATTCTGTTTGTGTTAGAATAAATGCAGTTATGTAGAACAGGGTGTAATTAAACTGAATTTCATATAATTGTCCGTTAAAATATTTTCTGGTACTTTTTTTTAAAAATGGCTTATGTGCATATTTGAAAGAGGTTTTTACAAATATGTAACTTTGTTGCAAGCATGAATTATGTGGTAGCTTGGGGGGTAAATAGGATATTCCCAAACACATTCCTGCAGGCTGTTGAGTTTGATTTTCAGAGTTCACTGTATTTTCTGCTGTCACCCTAGCTGTTGAAGGACACATAATTCACTGGATTGAAAGCAAAGCCTCATTTGGTGATGAAAGTAGCCACCAAGCCTACTTGCAGGACCAGTTTTGGAGCTACTGGAACAGGTACATTTCTGTTATTTTTCCTTATAGATAAATAGGACTGCATTTTTAAAAGAAGTTACTGGAAAAAACACTACTGACTTTTGTATTCACCCATGTGAACAAAATACATGGTACTAATCTGGCATTTTGAATGTCATTAATTAGTATGTCAGATTGGAATGCTGTAATATTTGTGAAAAATTTGCATCGTAATTGTTAATATGCAGCAGATATATATGGTGATTTTACAATGATGCTAGATGACAGAATAAGTTACTTTGGTACAGAAGTTACATGTCAATTCTTTTAGTACCTGACTTTGAAGGAGGATTTTGCTGTAATGTTTTGTAATACCTGCAAGGTGCCAAATTTGTTACAAAATCTTCACAAACCGAGTGGGCTATGTGTGTAAGAACTTCATTGCTCTTTGTCATTGTATCTAGGACAATACTGTTTCACTGTGGGGTTTTTTTTAATACAGTATTTTTTAGGTATGTTATCTACATTTTAAACTAATAACAAGTATCTTCAAGCTAAAAAACGTAGTAAGTATTTGCAGGAACATAAGGAGGGAAATAAGTTTTGCCGGACAGAATTTTTGAACATGTTGATGGTATTGGTATAAACATCTTTTCTTTTAAAGATGGTTTAAAGAGTTCTGCTTTATTCTTATAAAGACCGTTATTATATATATTTATATATCTTTCCATGGTAGTAGAAGCCTCCTCACTGGAGGGTTTTTCTTCCCAAAAAAATCCTAAACAAGATGCTTCATCTTCAATTGCATTTTTGTATGTGGTGGAACCCTAAGCAAGGTAGTGAGTAAGTGAGGTAAATGGAAGTTTTAATAAAGGATTTTTAAAAGCATAAATTTAGAAGTCTGCTCAGTGTTCACAAGAGGGCATCAATGAAATCTGAGGGATAGTGAAGAAGATGGCGCAAACGTGTGTGAACATGCAACAAATAGATAGCGTGTGCCAACATCAGACGCTAGTCTGGTGACCATTAGTATTTCAGTTGAATATGAGAAATGCCAAGGTGAAAATAGCTAGTCTTAGCTTGGGAAATACCTTAAAAGCAGATTCTACAGGAGGCAGCAGAGAAAGGGAAACCAAATCTTGAGAATAACATCATCAGAGTTCGGAATTATGCTCTGCAGCAACATTCTTGATTGACATGAAAAGGACCTGCTCTTATTTGACAATCCCAGAAAGCAGTGACTTGGAAAACTTGAATCAAGGTAATGGGAACCTCAGGAAGACTGTCAGTTGTTGGATGAAGATACTGTACTACAGGAAATTTGTAGAAAAGAGTTTGTGAAACATATAACCAGAATACAAGACTTAGAAAGAAATTTGTATATATACAATATCTAGGCAAATGGTGAGAATGGCAGGAAAGATGCTGATGCAATCGGTGCTGAACTTGCACATCAGTGTAAATAAGACGAGATGGAGCAGCTTGGGCTGGGAGGAGGCCATTAGAGGTACTGCCTGGAATATTTTCTGAGGAGAAAGGATGTGTTTGAAGGGATCTGTGATGGTATCAGAGAAAAGCAGCTCAAAGAATGAATTTTAAATAGATAACATGAGGATAAAGATACTCACTATGTTGAGATGGGGTAGAAGTTGAGTAGGCAAGTAGGATGAAGGCATTGATCTCCATTTGTTGTTTGCAGTAATGCAAACATTGCAAAGTTGAAGCTGTAGTTTTAGTGATAGATTAACTATGGAAATTAGGCAGATTTCTATGGGTTTTTTTTAAAGAACAAATACTGTTAGTTTTAATTTTGGTACTGCTCTTGGCCAAACTAAGAGTATCACAACATCTTCTGAAATGAATTCTGAGTTACTGCAGCTTCTTCTAATATGACAGTTGGGTTGATGAACACTTGTTGATAGATTGGGTTGCATGTATGTTAGACAGTTAACTTTCATTGGTCTCTGAAACTATACAAAAAGACACAGGTGTAGCTGTGCGTACTGTGAATCAATTTTGTGTGATTTAATCAGCCTGTGCAAGGATCTCTCAAGTGAGAACCAGCTTCCCAGTCAATTCACCACACCTGTGTGTCTCCTTTCCTCTTGAAGGAGGAATCATTTGGAGAAGAAGCATCGGTTCACAATAAAAATATCATGACACTCAGCTGGTAGTTTAGGGTTTTGTAAACCTGATCTGTTGGTTGATCTTAAAGCCGAAATGAAATTGGGGAGAAAACCTGTAACATCGCCTGTTAAAGGTGGATAGAAATACATGTCTCGATGATTTGAAAGGAATGAAGGTGAGAGGTTTTAAACCTTTTCCATTCAGCTTTTTTATTGTTTCTCTGAAAAGTAGGAGTGAGACTGGAAAAGTTTCTAGGTTTTTTCCCCACATCTGTCACAGATGGAAGTTTAATTCTGCACACAATCTGACTGGAAACTTTGAACATAGCTGTGGTTTGTTTGCTGTTATGTGTGTATTTCATTAAATCTCTGTGCTAACTAAATTTGTGAGTGTCTTAAATTGGTCTGTACTGACAGGAAAGAAATGGCACTTTCTCATTTAGCAGAACAGCTCCCTAGATGCAGTCAACCATGTCTGTTCACCTCAGTGCAAAAGAACACCTTTTTATTACTCCGAGTTCTGCAGGGACAGCTTAGCAAGGTTTTTTATGGCTCATACATCAATGGTATTGTTAAGCAATTTTCAGTTGCAGTGCTGCACTGCAACCTCATCTTCAAATTAAGCTTCACATTAAAAATGTACAAAGTGTACTTTATCAGTGGGTTTTCACACTTGTAATTTAAGATGCTGTTTAGATATTGAGAATTTTCAATAATAAACAAACAGGAAAGGCAAGTTTGGTCTTGCATATTCCCAGACTGATTTTGCAGAGTGATGTTTTAGAAAAAAGCTATTTTATGTACTGAACAAACTTAGTATAAAATGATTCATGTACTTACAGAATCCCTTCCCTCAATATGTTTGTTCCTTCAAAGCGGTGGCATCCACTGAGCAGCCTATAGCTTTCACTGCCACTGGGTAAACAAGACAACTGCATGTGCAAAATATAACTGCTTTGTGCACGTGTAGTAGATACCACACATTTCATTGTTCACTGGCCTACAGTGGTGTATTTCTTGTAATTTGGAGAGCATGAATAGGAAGTAACACAGGTTGCGCTTTAAAACAGGGTCTGAGAACATGTTGTAAATTATTTTAGGGTTTAAAAATGCTGCTGTTTCTTTTTTTCCCATAGTGTCTAATTTTATAATTTTTTCTAACTTAAATTAAGAATTGGAGTCCTGGCTGTGAAAGTCTGTTAGTCAGAGCTGATAGGCATGACTGCTGTTTTCTAAGAGGCATATAGAGATCAGCAACACACGGTTCAAATAGTAATTAGTGGGTGCACTGTCAGTGACTTGCTGAAAGAAGATATAAACTCAAATACAGCAATTTACATTTTCTGTCTTCTGCAAGCCTGGCTAAGGCATATGTGCATTCTGGAATGTAATTTCTAGAGAGTCCCAGGAGAAAGCTTGACGCAGTTATTAGCTAAAGAAACTTTACTATATGTGAGGAAAACCATAGGAAAATGTCATATTTGACACTGATATTAAACTAAAGGTAATTTCACATAGTGAAAGAGAAGCATTTCATCTTCTCTTTGAGTAAGAAAGGTAAGTCATCCCTGTACTAAATTCCTTCTCCCATTTGCTTGTATTCTAAATGTTGTTAGTCCTGTGCTTCTGCTTTTTTGAAAGAATAAATAAAAGCAAGTTTCCCATAAGTAATTTTAAAATAGTAACCACACTTTTTAGAAGCCTAAATTCATGATTAAATGCGTTGTAAATTAATACATTATGTCTGATCTTGAGACTTCAGTTTATAACTAACAGTCATAGCAAAATTATAATCGAGTCCTGTAGATTTAAAAAGGTATTTATTTCAGATAAATGTGAACAGAAGCAATGCAAAGGATTGTATTCCAGTCACAACACAGCTGATGTGTTCTTAGGGTTTTTTTGAGAAGAGTGTTCTGTTCAAATTCATTCGCAGTTGACTATAAGGATGAATCATATGTGAGCAAAGGCTGAATCAAAACATCAGAACAATATACATTTTTTTCTGTTCAGCTGTTCAAAATGGTTTGACATGTTATTGTGAAGATTGTTTAGGTAATAATTGTTGTCTGATTTAGGTGGTGGGGGAAGAGGGAGTTATGCTGTGGGTTTATGGATGTCTGTTCTATAACAAGATCAATATTCTCCAATTGCAAATGGCTTAAAAAGTTGTACTGGTGAGTTGAAAGGCAGTGGTATAACAACTTGACTTGGAGGAAACCTTGGGAGTTGCATTTGTCAAGTGGCAAGGAAAACTGTTCATGCATACCCAGTATCCAGAGCTTCGTTGGCAGCCCAAACATAAGAACTGAAAGGTCATTCTTCTTCTTGCAGTATGATGGTTTGTTGACATATTTTGACACACTGGTACAATGCTGAAAGGTTTTGACCTTACTGCAACACTGAGGGACTTAGGGTTTGTTTAGCTATCTGATGCTTGTAGATTTTCACACATGCTGGATTTTGCTCTGCTCCTTTTTCTCTCCCTCCTGGCTCCACTTGAATTAGTAAATTAATCTTAAACAGAAATGGATATAGATAGAAGAGAGAGTTTATGATTATTTTTGCTGCTTAGGACTATATACAGATACGTTTCTTCAGAAATAAGTCACTTTTTTAAAATTTGCCATACCAGCTTGCTAACCTTAGTAGCACTGAGTAAGATACGTTTCTTTATAGACGAGAATCAAAAGCAGTGAAGAGTGACGTTTTCTGCTAGTTTACTGATTCAGCAGTTTAATTTGTGAAGATGATAAAATTCTCTGTTCTTCTGCGAGATAAACAGAGAATATGTGTACACTCACACGCATACATACACACACACATATATAGGCATACCTCTGCACTTCACAAGCGTTCTAGATACATTTAGCTTATTTCCAACAGCATTTGACATGAAGTACTGCTGTCTTTATT